GAGCACGTGTTCGTCTGGAGAAGGAACGTGTGTTTGATAAGAGAAGTGCAGTGTGTACCGACATATTCCAAAGAGTTGTATTAGGATCTGATGAAGATGATGATGATGATGATGATGATGATGATCTTCCTTTCAATCAACAAAAAAAAATCCCTTTTCATTTCTTTTCCTTCGCTACTTCCCATTTATTCCATTCCATTACTTCCTTTTCTTTTTAATTCCTAATACCACCTTTAGTCCTTCCTTCTATTGTTCCCTTGCTTCCTTTCTTCCTTATTTCTGTCCTTTATTCCCTACTTTCCTCCTTCCTTTCTAACCGAGTCTTTTGCGCTTTTGCTCCTTTCTTCCCCTTCCCATTTCTTGATCCTTCCTTTTTTCATTTTTCCTTCCTTTTTTTCTTTGTTGTTTTTTCTTTCACACTTTTATTCCTTTCTTCTTCCCCCCCTCTTTATTCCACATCCCTTCCTTCCATCTGGTTTAACACACTATTAGAAAGACTTTTTTGGAAAAAAAAATGTTAGTAATCTAAAGATCAATTCTGTTTTTTTTTGTTTGTTTCTTCTTTAGGTCTGTGAAGTTCTCCTGTCCTCCTGTGTGGTCAGTTAAGGTAGGGTGTCCCTGTGACGTTAACTCTCTCATTTTCCTGATGGACTTTGGTGTGGGAGAGGGAGTGTTTTTGAACCTACTTTGTGACTTTAACACAGACCAGCCTACAGGCCTGATGCTGTACTGACTCACAGGGGTTAACACCACCTCAGATGTCTGACATCATGAATAACCACCGTGAGTAATGCAGAGAACAGATGCATCACTCTGCCTCAAAGCAAAAAAATGTTACAGAGTCAGTCTGAGTAAAGGCAGAGAACTGGGTTTTCTAAGAATAGGAGGAGAAAATGTATTCATTTTGTTTTTGTTGACGCAGGATGATGTAAAAAAAAAAAAAATCTCCTCCTCTTCATTAGAGCAGCTCTGACAGCAGCCACCAGGCGGGTGTGAGAGACTGTGGTAGGAGTTTGGGGGAGTGAGGTCACAGCAAGTACTGGAACATATGAGACGCCACAATCTGCTCAGCTGTGAATGTTTTCACACAGATCAGGAGCGCTCCGTTCTGCTGCAGGCTGTCAGGACTCAGAGTCCACATCCTTTAACTGTGGCGGTGTGAACCAATGGTACTGCTTAAGAGTACGTGAAAACCCATCATCTTACACTACGGCACTCAGTTGTAATTGACCCACTGCTCTCTTTTTCACAAGGTTTTAAAGGGATATTGTGCAAATTTTACTCAATGCAGTATTTGTCATGATCTACCACAATGACGATGACAGACCAGCAGCCCCACACCGACGTCTTCTGTGTCATTCTGAGGGAAAGTTTATGGTTCTTCACAGGGTGTTGTTAAAGGACAGTGAACAAAACTACGGGATTTCATTAAATATGTTACTTTGTTGGTGTTTTATCTCGGTGGTCTCAAACTCCTGGCCTGGGGGCCACTTGCAGCACATGAAGTTCTGACATCTGGCCTGTGATGAAATGCTCTGTATCATCTTTTTTTTAATTATTCAAATATTAACAACTGTAAGTGTTGTATTGATATGGAGTTTATGTGGCCCATTTCTAAAACCCATGGGTTTTTCTATGAGATTTGGTGGAAATGAATTAACAAATGACATATTTGAAAAACCTTTCCACGCCACAGTGTAACTAATCAGCAAACATGACAGGATGTGAAGCTGATTATTTGAACTTTTGAACAAACGTTCATCCTTGGATTGTTGCTTTAATAATCAGCAGCTGCTTCTGTGGGTCGACTGTAAAAAGAGCACTGGCATCTGCTGCCGATTATCTGTAAGAAATCACTGCCATTGATCAGTTTGGCTCCTGCCTTGGACAGAGTGTCGATTCATCAATCAAGAGCTTTAACCCCCCCCCTCCCACAGTAGATCCTGACTGTGATTTGTGTAGGCCTCATTTGTGCCAGCTCAAACGGTTTTCTGTCTGCACTGCTGTCGTCAGAAGATTTAAGCCTGGATGTTGGTTCACCCAAAACATCAGTCTTTTTGCCTTCCGTATTTCATTATTAACACCACCAGTGACAGTGATAGAAAGTAAACACAGTTGTCTACACATTAACATTTTAAAGCATCAAGAACCTGAGAAGTGACACATCAGCCTTGACATAAATGATATTTGGGAAGTCACATCTATCACATGGAGTTGGAATTCCCACAGCATCTTTGCTCTGATAATGTCTGCCAACTTCGGGGGTGTCCCCCATGACCCCCTTGGCTCGTGGACCAGTCCCAATGACATGGACGTGTCTTTACATTTGATTGTGCCGTTCTAAGTACACCATGGCTGCCAGCATCTACATCCCACTGTGACGGGCTGCACCGTCCCAGGGTGTGGCCCAGTAGAACTGTGTGGATCAACCTGGAGGCTGTTCCTGTGCTGCCACCATTACTGCCACTGTACTAGACACACACACACACACACACACACACACACACACACGGTATTCTCACACTAAGCACTGTTGTCCTCCGCTGGTGTTGCAGCTTCCTAAGTGCTTCTTTGTGTTGACATGCCTCACAAACAGCCACTGGAGGCACACGTGAACATGTTTTATACATTAGTGTATGTGTGTGCGTGTGGGTGACTTCACTTCACACATCACACTGCATATCACTTTCACGGAGAAGCTCCCCGGAGGCATTTATGTAACTAGTTTCATTGTATGCTGTCTCCCCCTGCTGGTGATTATAGGAACTACTCCGCCATTGGAGAACGAACAACATAAACCGACACATTATGATAAAGGCAGCTCCTGTGTCCCAGTGAGCCAAAGTCACTGAGATTGTCTTTGGGCAGAGGTGCAGTTGAAAAAAAAGCGTCTCTGAGGTAAATGGTTTATTGAGGACTAAACGAACAGAAGTTTATCATTTTTACAGTAGAGTCATGTTGCAGATCTACCGACTTGTACATGTACACATGTGCATCATTATAAAGGACACAGCAGTAGATTCCAGTGTCATGATTGGACCTGTCAATCACTACACCAGATCTGAAGATTGTAAAGTGCTTTGAACATTTCCAGGTCTTTGTTTAGTTACAGTTTTTAAATCCACAGTCGTTTGGACGGAATCCTCCCTGTGTTAAAACCAACAAGATTTGTCATTTATTTATCATTTATTTTCTCTTAATTCTAACAGTATTTTTACCTGAAATACACTTCTGTTGAAAATGACCTGAATACCAGACCAAAAAAACATCAACAGAAAGAAATTAAATAAATCTGGACTTATTTGACGTTGACGCCCATTCAAAAGATTCAAAAGAGATGTAATGTTGCCCTCTGGTGGTCCAATGTCAACTTCTTGCCTCCTTTTTCGAAAGCCAGGTCAACGTCATACAGGTGGACTGTTTTTTCAATCTGGATCATAATGTGAGCCGTGGACTCATCATATCAGTCAGACATCCTTTCCTACTGGCCTAAAAAGATGATTTCTGTACAGTCACACCTTCTGTGGCCGTCATGTTCAACTACAGAGGAAAGAGCTCAAGTTCCATATTGCTGAGAGCACCAAGGTTGGAACAAACAGCTGGTCCTTCTCCCCGCCCTCAGCGGCTGGAGGTGGGCCGCTGCCTCGGCCCCTTCACCGGTCAGTGTTAGATGTCACGGAATGTCCTCCAAAGAACCGGGCTGTGACTCCACTGAGGTTCTGGTGAACTGATGGAGAAGGTCCTGCTTCTTCTTGTCCTTCATCTCATCCACAACAGCCTTTAACGCCCCCACGACATCCTCCTCTTCCTCCTCTTTCTGCTCCTCCTCCTCATCATTTTCAACATTCACAGCATCACCCTCGTCTGTCTCAGTTGCCTCCTGCTCCTGAAGGTCAGACAAAAAGAATCTTTAGGGTCTAAAATCTGAACGAATACTTTTCTTTAAATGTGCAGCAGCTAAACATAGCAGAGCTCTGTTGGTGGGAGCTGTTTGTCAGGACAGATTTGTTCAGCTTGTCTAATTGGATGGCTGGATTATCTTTTCTCACAGGATTACAGTTAACATGGAGGCCACCGTGGGTCAGAGTCCACATTTAGGGTTCAGTACAGATGACTTTACTGGGGTTTAAAATTAGTCCAAACCAAACAGCACAAAAAACAAACAGTCATTTTAGCTGAGAGGGACGCAGGAGCTGCTGCCTCTTGTGGTCACTTTGTGTTATTGAGGTCTTGACAAATAATGAACTGCAGTTACTTCAGAGCAAATGTGGACTCCATGGTGGCAGCAGAGCAGCACTTTACAAAAATAATTATATTATATTATATATGTATATATATATAATATATAGTATATTATATAATAATAATAATAAATAAAGAATAATTCTCTGTGCTGTACTTTATATGTTCTCTATGGTGTTTGAGCACAGGAGTCAAGAAGACTTGAACTAATGTGAAATATTGAGCTATAACTTGAACAGTTTTTTTCCCCCATACCTGCAATGATGCTTCCTCCCTTCCCCCTCCCTCCTCTTCTTCAGGTAACTCCTCCTGGTCCTCTGCTGGTCCACTTTTTATTTTCTCAACTGGCATTGTAGCATCATCGTTTTCTTTAGTCTCTTCCTCTCCTTCCTCTTCCTCTTCTTCCTCTTCCTGCTTCAGCTCTCTGTCATTGGCATCATCTAACACGTCTGCTGTCATTTCCTTCACTGTCTCCTTGTCACTTTCCTCCTCCCCACTTCCTGTCTTGTCTATGTCCTCTTCTTCTTTACCTTTATCCTCATCATCTCCTAATTCATCTGTATCTTTAATTTTACTCTGCTCTTCTCCATCTTCATCTTCTTCCTCCTCTCCATTTACTATCACTTCCTCTGTTTCACCTGCCTCTTCCTCCTGCTCCTCATCACTTCCATCTTTGTCCTCCATTCCAGCTTCTCCTGTCTGACCTTTATCTTCCTCCTCCTCTTCCTCTTCCTCATCCTTTTCTGATATAGCCTCCTCTAAAATCAGCTTAGCTTTGATGTCCTCTTTGGATACTTCCTCCTCTTCTTCATCTTCCTCCTTCACTACCTCTAAACTCCTCACCTCCTCTGTGGATGGTTTGGCACCTTCTTTTTCGGTAGCCGGAGCTGCAGGTGGAGGACTCTTCGGACTCTTCTTGAGCTGAAGTATCTTGAGAAGGTCAAATTCCATCATCACAGGTGCTTCAGCAGCTGCTGGATTGGTCTTCAAAGGCCGGGCGGCTATTTTTTTGCGGACACAGGCGTCACATGGACAGTACTCATCCTCACTGCGCTGGTCACTGAAGTCACCTGTGGTTTCACCGTCACTTAGAGAATCTGCCGTCTTCACAGACTGGTTCTTCATCACCTACAACACAAGCAGACGTCATCTCTCTCCCTGTGAACACCAGAACCGTCTACAGATGTTTGGAGTTAGCTTACCTTCAACATTTTCCGTCTCTTTTCTGTCATGGTGGATTCTCTAGAGAGGTTTCCTCTTGGAGGAGGCCTGGGTGTCCTCCCTCCTTTACCTGCACGACCCTGAATCTTTTTGATCTCCTGACTGATGCTGCTCTGGATCCGACGACTCACCTCCTCCCTGAGCTCAGAGATCATGGTGTTGAGTATGAGGTTGTCGTCCAGGTCCCAGCGCACTTTAAATTCTGCCATGGCGTTGACGTAGTGGTTTATAAACTGTTTTTCCAGCTTCTTCAGAAGATTCAGGACCCAAACTGGATCAGGGTCTTGGGATTGTCTTCTGGACAAGGATCCTTGCAGCAGGGTCGGTGGTGTTCCTGAACTAGTGTCGTCCACAGTCTCCCGCTCGGTGTCGGTAGGAGACTTGGAGCTGTCATTGGCTGAGCTTTTATCTGGCGATGATGAGTTTTCAGTGGCTTTTGGACTGTCCAGACTTGAAGGGATTGTACTTTGTTCTTCACTCTCCAACTGTCCCTCTGCTCTGTCTCTGGTTGTTTCTGTGTCCTCCAACATGTTCTCAGCTCCGTCATCTTCATATAAAGGTTCTACCTCTTTGACAGGAGTTTCATCTCTGCCTTTATTTAAGTTGTCTTTCCCTGACCCCCCAGATCCGCTGCTCATGTCCACCCCAGAGGAAGACCTTGGTGGTGTCACCTGTGCTGGACCACTGTCCTTTACCTTGTTCAGCTCTATTTTGCTGGGTTCAGTGAGCCACAGGGACTGAAGGATGGCTATAATGTCTTCATACTGCTGGTTAAGGTTCTTCTCATGGTCAGGACCAGGGTCCACTGCAGGCTGAATGAGCTGAAGCTGGGCCAGACAGTCCAACAGGCCTTTGGCTGAAGTGCTCAGTCTCCGACCGTAAACCGGGGACACCTGCAGAGGACAAAAGAGATCCATTACATGGACATCGTTAGGTCCATTTTAGGTTGGACTTTAGACCCTCTAAAATATTCCTAACCCTCATATAGTTTTTGGATTTAACACGAACCAGCAAGAAAATGAGTTAAACTATAAAAGGCATAGAAGTTTGTTTACTTTTATCATCCAGATAAAAGGATTTGATAAACCTTCTTCAAATAATGACTTAATTGATAAAGCCTTTGTAGGTGGGATAGAAATCACACTCCTGAGCCCCTCATCTCTCAATCATAATGACGTCCCTGATTCATCATGAACCAAATGAGTGAAAAATGAGTGACCATGTGGACTAAAGGGTGATCTTACCTCTGGCAGGCTGTGGCAGCGACCCATGGAGGAATTCAGAAGCACTTTCATCACAGATGCAGAAGATTGCCAGTTCCTCGGAGGAGCTTTGGAACAAGAGGTCTCAAATCCATTCTGTGGGACCGGATTAAAACTTTGTTCCTCTTTTGCTTCTTCACCTTTAACGTCTCCCGTGTTTTCTTCCTCCTTATCATTCCCCCCAGTGTCCTCTTTGTCCACCATGTCGCCTTCAGTACTATTCCCGTCATTTCGGGGACTCTTTTCAACCTCCTTCTGCTCTTCTTCTTCTTCCAGGTCCTCACCCAGTCCTAGCATGCTGCTGTCATCTGGAATTCTCTGCAGCCACTCACTAACAACCTCAGTAGGAGAGGCATTGGGGAGACAGGAAGGTGATAGCTCCTGCTGGTTATTTGGGGTTTTCACTCTCCTAGATTTAGCACTTCTCCCACTTCCTGTCTTGGTCTCTGATTGTTGACTGTGTGGTCGAGCATACTGAGTTTCCTTCAGCAGGTCAGCAGCAGATAAAGTCTGAGACAGAGCAGTGTCACTGCTGGTCTCACATTTGCTAACCGGTCTGGAGCTGTGCAGAGAACATTTCATTTTTTCTCTGTTCTGAGTATTTCTTGTTTTCATACTGTCCTGCTCAGATTTGTCCTTGTGAGGTTTATCAGACTGTAAACACTCTGAAGTGTCTTTGACGTTTGATCTAGACTCTGATGGACCTACAGATTCAGGTCTGTGTGAAGCAGCAGTCTTAGACCGACCACCGGCTGCTTCACCAGTGTTTGATAAATCCGTCACAGATGCAGATGTGTCTTGGACTTCAGGACTGGATGTTGACTTTAAAGGTGAGGTTCTGTGGTTGTTTGCCTCTACAGGTGACGGTGACTTCACACACTTTGTTTTGATGTTGCTGCTCTGACACAGAGATCTTTGAGATCTGCTGCTTTTGGCTGAAGCTGCACTGGCTGCTCTTGATATTGTTAGCCCAGGTTCTTCATCTTCACCCTGACCTGAGGTTTTAATGGTGGGGATTCCTACTGAAACAGGATTGTCAGACATTATGCTCTTAGTATCCAGATTTTCCATCTTTATTTGGTTTTTGCTCCTGGCACCTGTGTGGAAGGACATACAGGACTCGGACTCAGCGGTATCTTGGTCTTCTGGTAATCCCAGAGAGACTGACCTGGATAAACTACTAGCTTTTCCAGACGCCTGGTCATCTTCTTCATCCATGTCTTTCTTCTCCTTAGTAGTTTCCAAAGTCGCTCCGCACTGACATTTGGACTTGCCTGATTTGGCAGAGGCCTTGGAGTGAACTGACAAAGCACTGCCCCCCCTTGTCTCTCCAGGCAGCAACTGTTGTGCAGCAGAGCACTGGGGACTGCTGGATGCAGCTGAAGCTCTGGGTGAGCTGCTCCTGGGGGAACGTGTCCTCTTTGGTGAGGGTGTTTGAGGTTTTTCTTTCTGGTTCGGTGATGACAGTTTTGGTGCCTCGCTTCCTTCATCATCAACACAGACACACACGGCACTAACAACCTGCTGTTGGTTTGTAGTTTGATTTTCCTCCCTCTCTGGAGATGCTAACCCCTGGGACTTGGTAGATTTTGATGACATGGCACTGGTTGTTCTCTCCACACCTCCAACAACATCTCTTGTTGATTTGATAGATGAGACACTGGTAGTCCGGTCCTTAGCCTCTCCACTACTCCTGTTAGATATTTTGGAGCCAGCTGACCTAGCACTGACTGGTCTTTCTCTGTTTTCTGGTTCAGTACAGACTGACGTTTGAATTGTTTCTTCTACTATTCCATTTTCTTTTTCTTGGGTCTCTTCTGTTACAGCAGACCTGGCAGACATCTGACTTCTTGATCTTTCTTCTCTTTCTCTCCCTGGCTTTGGAGAAAGTGACTGCTCTGAAGCCTTGATGGACTTATAGGATTTGTGTGACTTGACAGACAAATTGGACTTGGCTGACAAGGAACTTACTGATCTGATTCCCTTCTCTGTTCCCTCCCCGTCCCCAGTTTCTGTGTTGTGATCTGCTTCAGGACCAGGAGATCCAGGGTTTGCTGATTTATGAGAAGTCTTAGATTTTCCGGTAACATTTGATCCAGCTGATTTAGCAGAGACAGCACTATCAGAGAGTTGACTAGGAGTTCTTTTGTTTCTGTCACCTACTGTATAATCAGCATTTGGACTGGATGGAAAGTTAGAAGTATGAGATTTGTTCGAAGCGCTGGTCTTTGCTGAAATCACATTGGCGGCTCTCTCTGCTGTGTCTTCTCCATCTGCTTCATCTCTTGTGCTTATCTCCCCTGCATCGGCTGCGCTGCTGCAGTTGGACCTGTGAGATGTTCTTGACTTGGCAGATGTGCTCCTGGGATCTCTATGTGAGCTTTTGGATACCTTGCTTGTTGCTAAATCTTCACCCTTTTCGCCTTCTGCTGCTGTTAGCTCGGACTTGGATGTTGTTGACATGGCACTAGCTGTTCTGGCCTTCTGGACATTGGATAATGCAGAGAGTCTCCCACGTTTTGTGAGGTTGCTCTTGTTAGATTGCATTGAAACTGCTGAATCAGCTGAGCCACTTTCATCTTCCATGCAGGCAGTTGAAGGTGGACTGGTAGTGACCTGTTGGGAATGTTGGGACTGCCGTGAACCTGAACCAGTACCACATTTGCAACCCCCACAGTTGGAACAAACACTAGAGGACTCGGACTTCTGAGGCCCTCCTGAATGTCTAAACAAGCCATTAACAACCATGGTATGTTCTTCAACTTCATCCTCTGCTGCCTTCTCTTCCCCTGAGTTTAAGACTTTGTCCTCGTTGGACATGCAGGAGGCTCTGCTAAAATTAGACCTAGAGCTTGGAGTCTGATCTGGTGTAACTGCCTTACAGCAGCAAGATGCAGTAGATGCAGCAGATATAGCTGTGCTTCCTCTTTCTGAGTTGTTGTTGGATGGATCATTGTTTAGGCGACCCCTTGAGGTTGAAGAAGGTGGTGGTACTTCGCTTCGACAGCACTGTGAGGTACTGGGTGGTAGCTCATCATCCTCATCATCCTGGTCCTCTTTCAGTGACTGTAGGATATGTGAGGAGCTGCTGACGGGAGATATTGGACGCCCTCCGTCCCACCTCTGNNTTCCTCCATCATCAGCTCTCCCTCGTCTGAAATGTTCTGATGTTGTTGAGGGTTACCATCTACAGTGACCACCTCGCTGCGGCTGTGGCATTGGCTCACCCTGTGCACCTCCACATGGGTTCCACCATCTTGGTCCACTTCCACCTTCCTCTCTGTCACACACATCTCCTCCTGGATCAGCTGGCTGCACTCTGATCTTGATACTCCGTCACAGTTGGAGATCTCTGCTCGACAGTGAACAACTCTCCTGGAGTTACATGATGAACAGGAGCTGGAGGAGTTGCTTTGTCTCACTGTGGTCTGTGTGTGGCCAGAGGAAGGTGCAGCTAGAGGCTTTTTAAGACTGTGTGCTGGGTTTTCCCACAAGTCATATGACTGCTGACTTAGCTGGTAACAGCAAGGACAGTGGTTTGCTTCTAAAATTCGCTTCACTGGGATTGAAAAGTCTGTACCTTCTGGGTCAAAGGACATAGATTCAGATTCAGAACAGCTTTCTGACTGATTCTTCTGAAGGAAATGTGACTGAGCCTGTTCCAAAGAGCAACAGTCATTGGTTAGAGATGGGGATTTTTTGATCTGTGTGGACCACTGCAAGGTCTCATCACTCCGAAGGCGAAAACGGACTTTCATTTCCACTGAGAGGCTGCCATCTTTATTCACCAGCACACGCTTTTCAATGTCGTCATTCATTATAGCTGGTCTGGACTGGGAATAGGGACCAGCACCGTTAGATTTCTCTGAAGACAAGGAGAAGCGAGTGGAGCGATTTGAAGAATCAGAGCGTGGATGGATGATGCTCTTTTTGGTTTCCAGGCCAAAGTTCACTGAAAGAAGAGTGAAAAATTAGATTTTCACTACCAAGGAATCAACATTGCCTGCAAGAGTTTATCACACCTAATAAAAAACAAACAAACAAAACTAACTCACAGTTTTTCTTGCTCTCAGGTCCTTCACTGTATTCACTGGTTCGGGACTGAGCTCCATGAGGTGGTGATCTTAAACCTTGGGTAACTGGAGATCGAGCTCCATTTCCAGGAGTCCTGGGACCAAGACCTGGAGACTTTCTTTCCAGACCCGGCAGCTTTTCCTCTGAGCTCTTTTTTAAAATGTTTACAAACATAGGACTAAACGGTTCTCGGCCGACACACACGAGAGCACCTGGGCACGACATGAGACTCTGGACACTGTCAATCTGGAAACACATTCACACATTGTCAGGAGTTTCCCCTGAAACTGGATTTCTTCCACTCTATGGTCTAGCAGAGTTGACATCTTACCTTGCGTCCATCTGCAGTATAAAGTTTTCGGATGTTAAACTGCATCACCTCAGAAGCTTCTTCCAGGAAGGTCCTCATACTCCTGGTCGACCTCCTGCTCAGCACAATGCTTCTCCTTATTCCTGGCTCACTGTTTTTCACCAACAGGATCCGTCGCTGCCTGTGAGACAAATGTCCAGGTGGTGTCCTAGATGAGGTTTCAGGACGATGGGGTCTTCGGCTCTGGTGGTACCATTTGGCTTGGTGTTTGTTGGCCTGTTCCATTTTGATTGGTTTGGCCTGGCGACGATCAGAGCACAGGTAGCAACCACCATCCTGGAGCTGCTCCAGGTGTGTGATGCTATTGGTGCCTCGGGGAGTTGTTATGGTTCGTACACCAAATGGAAGAGGCACCTATGTGGTGGAACAAGACATTGTTAGCATCATCAGCCTTATGCCTTAGCACAAGCAATTAATACAAGCAGCTAGTCTGGCCGGAAGCTAAGTGGTTTAAAGCTAATTTGTCTTTATCAACAACCTTTTGTGTGAGATCGTCCAGCAGGGCGTCAAAGCATTTGAAGCTGCGTTTGTGCACAGCCATCCTGATGCCGCCAAACTGGCTGTCGCCACTTTTATAAAAGGTGATCCGCTTTGCCGGGGTGGCCGTAGTCACATGGGTGTACTGTTGTAATGTGGAGGGAGCTGGTTTTGGTTCTTGGAAGGCAGAGCCATGTTTAGACCTAGGCCCAGGATCCCACTGTCCGGTCTGGACTGATGACATGCTGTGATTTAACATTCACCTGAAGAACAAGGACAAAAACACAACAAGTGATAAAGACACGCCTGACGTCTGTCTCCTCAGTCAAATGATGCTGTGAAAGCCAAGAACCAGAGCAGGGCGTTATATTCCTTGTGGCTAACTTGAATTTTCTCTTGCAATGTTTTAGATAGCTAACCTTTATCATCCTTGGACTTATTTATATTTTCATGAAATGTTTTCTTCCAGTCTAGCCTTTAATTATTTCTGTTCACACTTCCTACCCTGTAAAGTCCAAGTAAGAAAAGCAAAAAAAAAAAATAAAAAAAAAATGTAAATGGTTAAATCATGCCTAGAATACATTAAAAGATAAAAAAAAATCTAGAGCATGATTTCTAAAAAAAAAAAGGATAAATAAGTAAACCAAATATTACAAAATCAGCTTTAACTTGACCATCCTAGGTATAGATTGACTCTCACCCAGAAAAACAAACAACCACACACAACCAGTTTATGTTTTAACTTAATACAATATATGTAAGAAAAAGATTACATAAGGTTAATAAAAAGTTGTCAAGACAATTAAAAGATAGAAATCTTATTCTAGAATGATCTTAAAAAAATAATTCTAGCTTTTCCTGTACACTGTCAGCACTGACAGTGAATTAGACTGGTATCTCACGATCAGAACTTAAAACAAACTTGGAGGTTTTAGGGAGTTTGACATGTCTGACATTTTCATTTTTTGAAAATACAGAATAGAGAAAACCTAAGACACAACACGATTGACTGTGATGACTTCTAGTAACCTGTGAGTTAGCAAACTGTTAGCAACAGGCTTTGCATGGTTTTAATCACTGTTCTAATCCGCAACAGGTTGCTTCCTAAAGGGGCAGTTCAGGTGTTACTGTACCACGGCTAGAGTCATTTTTAACAGGAAATAAAATCTGAAAACTGCTCTTAATTAAATACCAAATTCAATAAAGACAATCAGTATATTTAGCATCACACAACAATGGATATCTGTATCCATTGTTGCCTTTGAAAGAAAGTCAAATATCTATCTATCTATCTATCTATCTATCTATCTATCTATCTATCTATCTATCTATCTATCTATCTATCTATCTATCTATCGATACAGTGTACATATATAAACAAATATATATGTATATATGTTTTTGAAAGCCTTTCTACAGATTTACTTCAAAGACCAAAACGTACCACACTAGGGAGCACTAGACCAATAGATACTGAATTACTGTGAGAAACAAAAAAGGCTTATTTTCCAATTTTCCAGACCTCTGTGGTATTAAGGTTTATTATATTACCACTAACAACACCTAATGATAGTACAAACTGCAGTAGACAACTCTATTAAAATTAGTTTTACAGTATACTCACATTTTTAGGTGTCATGGTTTTAAGTGGTGAAAAGAAGCTGCTACAGAGTCCGAGGTTAGACCAAGTTGCAGCACAGACCTCTGGGTAAAATGGTGTAAGCTAATCAGGTACATGGAGCAGAAGGAGGAGGCGGCGGCTAAGGATAGACCTAAGCCTGATTAAGATGCTGAGTCGCTGTGTTTGTGTGTGTATGTGTATGAAGGACATGGGGGTTGCCATAGTGAGGCAAAGATGGTGTTGAGGAAAGTGCACTTATGCATGTTAAAACAGAACATAAAGGATATATAGCAAAAATATATCAAAATATCAGCTCTTTCACAAGTTACCCCCAAAATGTTAGCTTAATAAAAGTTAACATCGGGGCAGGAATAGAAGTTAACCAAATACAAGAAAGTACTGTAGTTATACTGTATATCAGATGACTAAAGAGCAGCTTTGAATTAGGTAACAGTCATCAAAAAAGTAAGCAAAATTAGGTCAACTTTAACAGCTGAAAACCAGAGGAAGAAGAAGAAAAAAAAGAAACAGATGGTTGAACGGATAATCAAAGATGAAAGGCAGATGAACCGACAGAACCCACTTTAATTACATCACTTTTTAATTCACGTTGAATGAAATTTTGAAATCACATTAGGTCAGGTCATGACAACTATATTTACATTAATAATGTATATACCGCATACTTAATTTAATGTGGAAGAAAGGAAATGATTCACACCACGACTAAATAATAATAGCCTCAGAAAAACTGATGCCTTTTAAAGACACAAAGTTTTCTGAAAACCTAAGAATTCTGTAAATCAACACATCTCAATAGAACAAAGGATCGAAGACATTAATTAAAAAAAGATGTGTTTTGTTTTGGCAGTTTGCGATTCTCACCTGTTATTTCCGGTTTCTCCAGCGCTAGACGTCCGACGGATGTGACGTCAATGCGTGAACAATGTGCTGGCGTCTGTCTCCTATGGTAACAGTGGAGGAAAACGGTCTTTACATGCCGATTTGGTCGTAGAAAATGGATGAAAATGACGAGGACCTAACTCGTCTTGTTCCAGCGTTAACACAGTTAATGAAGCTGCAGGTACATGAGCGCTGCACCCATGTGTTAATGGACGTTCTTTCAAGAACTGCAAGAAAAGTATTTACTGACTGAAATAATGGTCAAATACAATATGCACAATGCTGTTTTAATTGTTCGTGTTCAAAAAGTGTTCAAAAAGGTATAATGTAATTTTTTTTACATGGTTGACATTACATTTTTTTATACCAGTAGCATTTAAGACGAGATTTAATTCTAACAAATAAAGCTAATTTAGTAAATGTCTAAAAGGATATTTAAATTACACCTTAAACATGGAATGTATTTTCAGTATTGTATAAGTAAATTAAACATTTAATTTTTTTTATTAATGCACATTCTAACAATTAGATTATTTAGGTTTAAAATCAGTTATGATATTTGAAACTTTTCCTGACTGTTGAATACTTTCTCAAAGGTAACAAATACATAACCTATTAAAAGTATTATTAAGTATTATTATTATTATTATTATTATTATCTGTGGTAGAATTAATCTAAAATAACACAATTATTTATCATATGATAAATCATAAAAATGTGAACTTCTAAATAAAATAAAAGTAACCATGGTGTTAACGTAACACATAAAATTACAAACTACAGAAGAAGCAATTAAATAATATGATGTATATATAAATAAAGTATATAGTAAAATGAACAGTGAAACCTTTACTTGAAATAGTAAAATGTATATTGAAATAAATATATATAATATATAAAATATTTGCAGTTTTTAGAAAATGCAATCCTAGAATGGTACACTTGAACAAAGGATAGTTCAAATGTTTATGTAGTTAAATAATGAATGTCCTGGTTCATGATTATGTATAATATATTTGAATTATATGTTATATGTTGTGATTTTTGTTTCAGAGAGCTGAAGGTCTGCGGCTTCTCTCTTTTCTCTTCTCCTGGTCTGAGTACACTGAAGAACGTTGTGATTTTCATCAGGAGTTTGTGTATGACATCACCACGTTTGCTGCGTCTCGAGGTCTCTCCTGGCCTGACGTGGCTCGAACTGCCATCACTGCTAAATCCATCTTCCCAAAATTGGATGGTGAGAAAGCCACAGAAAAAAAACAACAGCATAATCCTGACAACCTGCTCTCAGGTTTTCTGGATCTTTGTTTATTAGACCTTTGTTCTTCAGGTGTGGATGCAGCTAAACTTTTGTCTCTGCTCAGAGATGCTCTCTGTGATTGTCTTCCAAACCTGTCCCCCCTCCAACGACATGAATTCACACGTTTTCTTACTGAGACATGTGTCAGTCGACACAGACTGTTCCAGGCTGTAGTAAGTGGAGCTGGAAACATAACCATTGAGAAGCTTCAGCTGGAGCTGCAGCTGCCACCTACACCACTACCTTTGGCACAGGTGAGAAGAGACTTCCCCTGTTCATTTGAAGAAGGATTTTAGGTTATTTAGAATTCTGGGTTTGGGGGTTACTGACTGCACCTTAAGCCAACCTTGATTTTAATGTCATAAATGAGTGTGTGTGTTTTTTGTTAAAATTCACCTCAAACTGACTACAGTAGGCATCACGAGACTGACATCTTCTGTGTCCTAGGAAACTAAAAAAACTGATTTCCCTAATGAACTTTGTTGAAGCAGAAGCATAAGGGTTTACAGACATTTTCTTTTAGGGCACAGAACAGCATGAGTGGGAATGTCAGCTCCAAATAGCACAAGTCTCTTCAAAACTCCATATAAAGGAAGAGAAGCTAAGGAATCTGCGAGAAGGATTAAGAGTCACTGTCCAAGTTGAAGAACATTCTGAAGATGACCAGCTGGACCAAGAGGTAAACACTTGAAATATACTTGTGAAGAGAAAATATCACCCACGTTGAATTGTGCTTAGTTGTAATTAACCAGTTTGTTGACGGCAGAATATCATGGAACTGGTGCGAGAAGCTGTGAAAGCTTCTGAGGAGCAGATGATGAAGAGTCTGGACCAGGAGACGTCTCTGCTTAGTGAGATTGTACAGCTAAGACTGCAGTTGGAAGATTTACAAAGCGAAATGCTTCAAAGTAATCATGACACAGCAACAAAACGTCCAGATAAGTCTTCCAAGACAAAAGCAAAAGAGACACCAAAAACCCGACGAAGATAGTAGGAAAAATGAAACTACTCCTTTAATTGTAATAATTTTATTACAAATACACCATGCTGTGTTTGGTTGCCTTTAATATTTATTTAAAAAATCAGTAATTGTGCTACTTTAAACTATATTTAAATGTATTTTGGCCAAGTTTTAAGTGTCCTGAACATCATTCTTCTCTTTGTTGTATTTTTTTTTCACTTTTAGGAATTATTGTAAAATGTTCGTTTGTTGATATAAATTTACCAATAGTCATTTCATCCAATAAAAAAATGGTATTACCCATATAAAATGTTCGAACGTCTCGTAAAAAACACTCCTCTCCACAGTAAACAGACAAAAAATGTCTGCCTTCCTGTTGTTTCTCTAATTGCTTAACAGCGCCCCCACTCAATTCTTTTAGCAGATAGCGCAAAGTCAGTGTGGTTAGAAAGAGTACTGTAGTTTTGCTGAGCTGTGAGGTGAAGCTGCAGGTGTAGTGCAACGGAAGTGATTGAAGATGACCTAGCTTTCCAGCTATGTACAACTTTGGTTTTTATGAAGTCAAAATTCGAAGAAAACCTTCATTCAAAACTGGTGATGATGATGGGAAAGGCGCTGATAACAATAATAAAAACAACGACAGTAACAAGAGGCGCAAGAAAAAAAAAGAGATAAAGCAACAGAAGAAAAACGTCAGACCGGTGAGTCCCATTCCCTTATGCTAATTGGCTAATGATGAACGGTTGTAAAAAAAGAAAAGAAAAAAGAAGCTATATACGGTGGGGTTTTTGTGTCTGTTATTGTGTTGCTGCTGATGTTATTGTGTCTTTTCCGCTGTTGTTCCTACAATTGCTCTACTTACTTTTGCTTTGTCTTATTTGTACAGTAACAACTGGCGCGTCAACAGAAATAGTTAAATTGCAAGTCAATTTAACTATTTCTGTTGACGCGCCAGTTGTTAGTGTGTCTGTTGGGCTGTTGCTACCGTTGGTCAACTTTAGCTGCCGCCGCTGTTGATGATACTGTCACACTGCTGCTGTCACCGTCCTTGTTTTTGCTCAGTTTGTTGAGGATATTGTTGCTGTCTTTAAAAAATCCTGCTTTCATTCTTTACTTGTATTTGTCATATGAAGGTATTTCTGAAAAGTATTTATCAAATACATTCTCTTTACTGTTAGGCACAGACGTTCTGCGTTTTGGAATACATAATTGTAATTATTTATTTTTTCTTTGAAACCTGCCACAATCACAGCAGTGATGGCTGTGACTCATTTAATAACCTAATGAAACAATGTTCCCTCCTTTAATGATGATAAACGGTGGCGTCACTGATCAGCTGGTTGTTCACTACCTTGATTTATTATCTGCTGCAAGTTTGAAAATCAATCTGTGTCTGTTCCTAGAACAGACAGATTTATCATAATTTTCTTCTAGAAACCTTTGTCTTTTCATCATGTTGATCTTAGACTCATCAAGTTATGACGTGATCAAAAGTATGATTCGCTGCACAGTAAACTGAACTATAAAACCATAAACAAAAGTTTTTAAAAAAAGTTTTAATAGAAAAAAGAAACCGATCACCTGTAATTTGCAGGTCAGCACGCGACACCTTTTTGTGTTTTCTTTAGTTTGTTTTTTCAACAGGGTTGTATTTGAGTTTAAATGTAAAAATATGTACACACATGTACTACTGCGTATTAGCCACCAGGTGTCAGAAAATTCAAAGAAATCCAAGCTTGTTTTAAGGCTCTGCAGCACACAGTCCAAAGACCCACCGTGACGTATTTAGAGTTTGTTCCTGGTGTGAATAATGCACGTATTTGTGGCACATGTTTCCGTGGAGGAATCACCAGTTTGTATAATGTCCCTCATTCCTGGTCCTTATTGTTGAAAATATTATCATACTTATGTCAGTGACACAAAGCATAAGTTTGTTGAAGGTGCTTCTTCTTGCAAATGAAATATACATTGTTCCTGGTAGACTTAGTATTATCTGGTATTACTAATTTCTGCAGGGGGATTTTGGGAATTTATTTTTGTGCTAACTGTGCACATCTTTTAGTTCTCCATTTTTAAATGAACTTGTACTAGTTCCAGTAGTTAAAATACAAACTGTTTCTATGGCTGGCGAAAATGTCTTTTGGGGTAGGAAAACATTTCCAGATCACTGGTACTGTAGCTCCTGCTGCTTGATGTGGATGATAATACTGCACTGGTGTTGTGGCATGGATACGGTAGAATTTATCAGCTTCTAAAGTTTGTTTTTGAGCCTGTTTTTCATATAATGGTTCTTTATTAGAATTTGTGATTGAAGGGAAAACTGTAGAAGCTTCATGGCCTGGTTTAATTCCATCAGAAGTGGAAAGCGGTTGCTGTGACCTTCTCCACATGTGAACCATCTGGAAATGAGCCAGTGTTTTGTGTGGATCCAGCTCCAAAAACTAAAGAATAGATGACAAAACATGATGCATGTCTTATTGTTCATTTGCCTAAAAAGCCTTTTGTTTTTTGGGGGGGTTTGCAATTCTGGAGCTCTGCCAGTGAATATGAAAAAACGCACACATCTCCACATGAAAAAGAAGACGTTCTTTGTTTTAATGTGGAGAAAGACAATGCGTTTAAATGCACCAACATGAGTGTAATTACTCATCACTTCCTGGTGAGAACAATGGGCTTTTTATTTTTCCAACACATTATTAAAATCTTCTGTTGGAGACCCATCAGGTTTTAAATCTGTTTTACAGTAAAAGACCTTAGTGATGAACTTTTCCACTGCTGTTTTTTACATAAATGCTGCCATGTCTGTTCAAATTTACAAAAAAAGAAAAAAAAATCAGACAAAGTCTATTATATCTTCAAAATGTGTTTTCCTCCCCTTTTCACTGCTAGATAGATTTTTCATCAGTCAAGTTTGTGAAAAACTACACTGAAGTTCTTAGAAAACATCAGTATTCTCGCTGACTGAGACACAGGCGCAGCGTGTCTACTGCTGCCTCGTGTGATCACTTTGTGTCACTGAAATGAATTCAGACAAGATTTCAAACCCCAAAGTTCTATAATAAATCATCTGAACTATTTGGTAAGAAGGCAGTTAATAAGAAACCATTGTTGTTATCAGTGCTATAACATTATTAATTTCTTATTGGGGGCTTTGGTGCTATGAACAGTTTGCAATTTTATATACAGCATTCAGTTTTCTCCTTCACTCTCCCACACTAGTGTACATAGATTTGTTTGCTTTTTTAAATACAAGACAGGGGTCGTTAATCCACTCCTCTTTGTGTTATTTTCTGTGTGTTATTTTCTGAAATTAGTTTTTTAAAAATAAAAACTTACATTTATCTCAGAGACACAAATGGACCACAAGAGGCAGCAGTAGACCAGCATCTCCTGGGAACCTGTGAGCTAAGTTGCTGATTTTCTGTCAACTTTTGTTGAGGGACAAGAACAATGTCAAACAGTGAGGTACAGTTGCAGGGACTTTTATGGAAAGTCTTTTTCTTGGTGAAATAAATTTGCTCTCAAATATCTTTCCTGTAATTAAGAAACACAGGGTCAAAGCAGTTTTTGTTACATGTGAAAGCATTCTGTCCCTATGTTTCATCCACGTCCATCCTTATTCCCTGCCTCCACTCCACCCTGGCTGCTAATGGGATTATAGTCAGCTCTGTTTATTGCCATGAGGGAATTGAGGCTCCATATACAGCGTGTGAGGGGTTAATTAGAAACAAGTGCAGGGGTCAGAGGTGTGTGTGAGATCATGTGATGATGATGATGAGAGGGCCGGACCTGGTCGTAATAGGGGGCGGATTTAAACAAGGATGCTGCAGAGTAGATTTATCTGCAGCTGGTGACATGGGGACAAATAGTGGCTGATAGGTGAAGGCCTCTCAGTGGAGAGTCCAGGCTGCATGACAAATAACTGCAGTGTGTGTGTGTGTGTGGGTGTGTGGGTGTCAGTGTGAGAGGGAGAGATAAATGGGGTAAATAGGTTTCCAGCTTATAGGCGTGACGGGATGATAAGATATAATTTCTGTCATGATTATCCTCACCAGAGTAATTGTGGCCTAATGATATTATTGTTGTAATTGTGAAAAGCCTATTTTCTATTATCCGTCTTTATAAAATGGCTCATTCAATATAGATGAATAAAATTACCATTTAAAGCTAATGCAAGAATATGCCAAGAAATCAGTGTAAAAAATAAGCAGAGTTTAGAATTTAGAATAGATTTTAAATTTTGGTCAACTCTGGAACAAATTGCCAGCTGAAATTAATATTTATTCACTGTATAAAACTAATAACAACAAAGGGCTGGTTAAAGGAGAAACAAAGTTTTGAAGATGAACCTGAGTAATAAGGTGTTTAAAGTGCACTGTACTGATTTCCTTTTTTTTTTTTTTTTGTAATTGTAGTGTACTCTGTTTTTGAGATTTCATATGTTTATTCTTTAATCCTTCTGTCCTCATTATGTATTCAATGATGTAAAGTACCCTTTTTTTTGTCAAAATCCTAGCTTTGTATCATTGATATTTTATGTAAAAAACCAAACAGAGTTTAAAAAAAACCCAAAAGCTGTTTTTAACTGGATTACTCCGCTTTTGTATAAAAGTATATTCCATTCTAGTCCTGAAGTTTAAGACGATTCTTCTTAAAAAAGGCAACTAAATATTACCCCAAAAATACATATAATTTAACACAAAATTAAAAACAATTCAGCAAAAAATTTGATCTCAAACAATTAATACCAGCAAAAAATCACACGTAATCTGTAAATCAGATAATACCCAAAATAGCAATGTCATACAGTTAAAAAAATAAGACAGTATTCATCCAAATACTTAACAACCCAGGAAAAGCTGAAGATTGTTCATAATTTCATGATAATAAAAATTATAAGATTAAATTGCTACAGACTCTTACTTTGTCAAGAAAAAACAAATCATAACCAAAATAGATAAAACCCCAGCAATTTTACTTTACAATTACCCACAACACAAATACATTTAGCCAGACGATGGCTAGCATTTAGCAAAAAGGCTAAAGAAGAGTGACAAAAAAACTCTAAAACAAAACATTACATTAGCAAGAAGAAGGCTAAATGCTTGCTAAGGCAGAAAAAATGTAATTTTTAAAACCCGTGGTTTATTTCCAGGCCATGTCTCCATCTCTATCTCCCCTCCCTTCCCCCGTTGTTTCCTTCGCTCTTCGGTCTCTTGATGTCGTATGAAGACTGTTCTATCGGCGCAAGCTACGCTGTTGCTGCTTGTAAATTAATTTGGGTTTTCCTGTCAGTCGGCGCCCTCTCTCTTCTCTTATCTGCTCTTGCTGTAATAGGGCGAAGCTGAGAGGCCGAGGGGGGGAGATACTGCTGACTGAGAGCTGGGAGAGGAGGGTGAGGAGGGATTAAATAGGAGAGAGATAATAAACTGGAGGAACAGAGCGAGGCCAGGACAACAAAAAGAGAAGCCCCTGAGAGGGATCTTCAGCTTCGACATTCCCATTGTACATTTGGAAAAAGCTCATCGTTGTGAATATCCCATGTTTTCATTTTACATTTACTGACCATAAAAAGTGGTCTAGCTCACCACCATACAGTCTCAGTAATTAACTCTAAAATATCATAAGGCTTCGCTGAGCCACTCTTTAACAACCCTGCGTTGTTACAAACACACCCATACCATAGTCCATAGAGACAGAGATTTTAACTCAGGAAAATATAGAAGCTATAGAAGAATATGTGGCTGCTATTGATAAAAATGTGTCACTAACAAAATGAAACTAGTGTTGAATTTTAAACACTGCAATAAAAGTGTTATATTAAAATTAACCTGTTTAGGCAGCAAAATATTAACACGCCCTTTTTGCTTCAATGTTAAAATTGTTGTTTTCATTTGACTTGTAAGGGAACATTTAGCTTTTTGTCCAGTTTTTAGTCTGGTGGGAAATACCAAACCTTTTTGAGAATGTCAGCTTTTATATTTTGTGAAGACACAGGAACTACTGAACGTCTGCCACCTTGTGTTGTTATTGTGTAACACTAGGGTAAATCTGAACCAACAAAGGATTCCAAACATTAACATCACTAACACATTTGGTCATGGTCACAGTAGACCAGTAGCTAAAGTGTGCTGTGATGCTAAAGTTGTTGATTTTCTTGAGGGGTTTTGGAGTCTTATACCCCATAGAAGGGGTATTATCTTTTTTTGAGATCAAAATATTTAACGCAATGTTTGGAAACTGAAATTAGGACATGAACAGGTGGCGAACACACACATACGTTCATTTAATCGTGGTGGGAGGTCTGAGTTTTCCTACTGCACATTCCTTAGACAAGTGTCTTGCACCTGCTCGGCCTCAGTCAGATTTTTAGTGTCCAACAGATTAGGACGAGCGGACACACTCCTAATCCATTCACTTTACTGTCTATCTCTCTGTGTGTGTGTTTGTGTGTGTGTGTGTGTGTGTGTGAGCGTGTGTGTGCGCACACGTCTCATAGCCAGACACATGGAGACAAAGATCTGTTTTTACCACACTAATATTCTGTAGTAAATCATAGTCTTAAGCTTTTTAGCAGATGCTTTTTGTTTCTGTGGAAAATGTTTCAAGAACATTTTGGATCATTTGCCTTTTGATGTTTTGCTGCTTTGAGTAATGCCATGCCTAAGAATTAAGTCAATTTGTGCAAATTATGGCCAACACTAACACTACACCTACACCTACCTGCAGCTGAATATGTTGGCACTTATCTGGTGGCTCCTGTTTGTTCCTCCTTTTTTTTTTAACTAATATTAAATAATTCTCTTTTTTTCTAGTCAGTCCTTAAGCTAACCATTATGAGCTTCCTGGCTAAGGCTTTCTTTTTGCCAGTTCAGCCCAAATATTAGCTGTTAGTGTTACCTTTCCCTTAATCTTGCTACATATGAGTGTTACTGCAGCTGCTTTTTTACATTTTTTTCTAGCTTTCAACTTGCCTTTAATTATTTCATATTAAATGTAGTTTTTGCCTGTTCAACTACCCTACGTAGTGGCTAGCAGTGTAGTGGCTTTAAGCTAATAGTCCAATATCCTTTGGCTTTATTGAACTAAAGCCTTTTCTGGCTTTTAGCAAAATAGTTTAGGGTCCGTCAGCAAACCTATTCCTGTTCTTTCTAGCTCTTTGCCTATTTTATTATTAATACTATTATTATTATTATTGGTGTTGTTGTTGCCTTACTCCTATTATTATTATTGTTGGTGTTGTTGTTGCCTTACTTTTTGGTGTTTTAACCACTCTGAGATATTGGAAACCTAGTTTAAAACTATTTTGGTGAGTTCTCAGAAGGTCTAGCAAAGAAATACAAAAGAGTAATTTTATCTAACTTGATACCTCTTTAAATAGAGACAGATCTTATGATGACATCATTAAGTGGGGTAGATTTTGTTTTTCTTTTTGAGTTACTCTGCATTATATTATATATACACACACTCCTATGCACACACACCTTGAGCACTGCGTATCTGACAGGTTCACATGTCAGTGTTTAATTTGACCTGGATCACAGAAGCCAGACCGTGTGTGTATGTGTGTGTGTGTGCGTGCATGTCTGTGTGTGCATGTGTGCGTGCATGTCTGTGTGTGCAATGCTCAGTACAATCTCACACTCACCTTATTGTTTTCTTCACTGGAGCTGAAACAGAGGCACAGATTTACAGATCTGCAGACTACACTTCAGTGACTGAGTGACTGATTCAACCTAATGGAGTTTTCAGCGTCACATTTTCACTCCTGCTTCCTCTTCGAGGCGAGTCGAGCTGAACATCAGCCCAATCTGAATACTGCTGCTGCTGAACGCAGCTGTAACAGCGCCATCATCTTCAACACTAACATTTTCACATCTGGGTAAATTTATAAAAAATGTTTTTTGATTATATGAGTCACCAAGACTGACTTATATTACCCTTTTCTTTTACAAGTTTGCCTTTTGTGCTTTCTATTTCAATATGAAAGAAAATAGTTATGGATATAGTTTCTGCATTTTACTGCATTATTACTGCATTGCTTTCTGGACGGCATGTTGTCTTTAAAAAAACAATTACAATAAAAACCAACTTTTGGTTGCGAATAAGCACATGGTGGTATGCAAGTTTTACTACAGAATGTTTTCTTGCCATGCAACATTAAGCCTACTGTATCGCCTCAATGTAAAACCAGCTAATGTTAACTACAAAAACCCTGGAAAGGCAAATGGTAAAGCTGGCTAATATTCAACCAGATGAGAATGAAGAAAAATGCACGGACAAATATAGACAAGAAATAAATATTCGGATGTTTAAGTTCACTTTTATATTGATTCGATCGTTAATCAGATTTAATTTGAATTGAGAACTTTGCTTGTTATATATCTTTTGATAAAAATGATTGACAATTATTTAACTACAAACCCTGCTAATTGATTGGGATTTTTTTTTTTCAAATACATTCCATGTTTCAAGTTCACTAATGAGAGCAGTAGTGGATAAACAACTGCAGTTTGCTTTAGTTAAATGTAGATACAGTACTTATATATACTTTATATATATATATATATACTTTTTGTGAGGTCCTAATGATCCTGGACATGTTTTGTTTTTGCTTCTTCCTCTAGTCACATAAACATTTTTGACTGCAAAGAAAAAGAGCTGCAGGTTCACTGTTGCCTCCTGTGGTCAACCAGAGATAAATCTGAATAAAACTTTGTTATGCGCTCTGATGAAAAGTAACAATTTTTACTGTACTCTGATAATACTTCAGCACATAAAAGCTGGTCGTTTGGACGATCACCAGTCATAGAAACTGGCTCCTAGAGCTTAAGGGAAATAATACAGAGAAATATTTTTGATTCAAAACATATGTTGTTTAACTTAATACTATTATTTTGGGCACAATGATCTTTTAGCCAATCACGTGATTTTATTTCCTTGAAAATTAGTTGTTGTGCTTACAGTAGACGTTTTCTTGTACAAAATCTCAGAGTACAGCCTGCAGTGGATCATTTTGCTTCTCCTTTGTAATATTAAAATTTTACCAATTGCATCTATTGTTGTTAAAGGACAGAAACTCTGTGTTTTTTAAATGGTTTGATTTAATTTGCACCCTCCCCCTTATACATGAAATCACATATTTCAGTTGAGGGCTGGTACTGTTCCATAGGAGCCTGGTCGTTGGCTGTAGAAGACATGTTGGAACTTGTTTTTTTTCCCAAAAAATAAATGTAGAGCATTGTTGAAATACCAGGCCTGAAACAACAAGGCTAAGGTATCTTTTATGTAGAGAAAAAAACATCCACATTTTTGATCTGAATCCATGTAAATTTAGTTTATCTTAAATTGACGGAAATGGTGATTTTTTTTTTATTTCTCTTCCTCTGCCTTCTGTTTTTCCTCCTTTTTTTCTTTTTCTTTCTCCCTCTTTCATTTTTCCGCACTGTCAGATTGACTAATGGCGGCCAGTGCAGCCCGGTGTCCAACAAATGGCTGCGGCTGCGCTCGACCAGGCCTTGGCCTGGACACAGATCAATATTTCACCATTTAAAATCTATCACAGGAGGATTTTTTTTTCTTCTTCTCCTCCACCACTGCCACCGAATCAGACGCTGTGCAGTTACAACCAGTAATCAATAAGGCAGCACCTTTCACAGATCCCCAGCACCGTCGCCTTGCTGCAGTGATGGATAGCGAGGAAGGCCGCGCTTCATTTTGTCAGGCCATTTACGCTTCGGGCGAATCCTGTCCACTTCATCCCTCCAGACGATCATTTTTCACACTTCATAAGGAGCAGGAGTGGAGGATAAGGAGGAGGAAGAAGACAAAGAGAGGAGGCGCACAGAAAGAGAGAGAGAGAGATAGAGAGAGGGAAACAAACTGAAGAATGTGGAACGAGGTGGAAGAAGGAGATGCAGAAAGTGAGGGGGAGGAGAGAACAAGAGTGATGACAGACTGATGGTTGGAGAAAGCAGAGGTTTGGAGCAGACTCAGCGGCTCCTGCAGCCATTTTAGGATTTTTTTTCTCCATAAAACCAGACAAATAGAATCGTAATAAAAAATAACTTATGGTTTATATCCTACTGATTTATCACAAGCGTTGCTTTTAGGTGAAATGTGCAACTAAAGCCCTTAGGAAAGAGGCAAAAAATGGCTGCCATGGTGGACACTTCCGAAATAAGACCTTTTTTTCCCCCACTTATTTTACAAAAAAAATTGCTTTGATCTACAATATGTAATGATAGTCGTGGTTTCACTATTTGATTGTGTGCAGTTGATTTGTAAAACAAAAACATTAACTTTAAGCAAATAGTTGCTCCTAAACTCTAACACTACATGAAAAACAGTTTCAGGTCATTGATCCACCGCTTCCATAATCAATTAGTTTACATTTTTACTTCTGCAGCTTCAGTGTTTGAATTAGTTCATTTAGGTCATGTGCAGTGACACACACTGACCACAGGAGGCAGCAGTAGAGCAGCAGCTACTTTGTCCCATTAAGCTACTGTATAATTGCTCTGTGGGTTTGTCTAGTGAGGGAGCAAGACTTTTACAAAGCTATACATTTTCAGCTAACTCTGTGAAAAATGACTAGGATCGTTTGCTGTTGTTTCTCCACTGGCAGCCACATTTCCACTAATTGTGTACCTTGTTTTCTTTCACCTCCTGTGATTTGCATAAACGTCTCCTCCTCCTCTCTTTCCTGGCTCACTTCCCAAAGATGCTCAGTGTTCGTGTTGGATCCATCTTTCCTTTGGAGAAACAGGCGACAGCTGCTCTGTCTCTGTGTGTGTGTGTGTGTGTGTGTGTGTGTGTATGTCTCACCTGCTGGCAGGCGAGGATTATGAGCTACAAGCTCTTATTAAAACTGGATTTGTTTACCCTCCCGCTCGCTCTTCACACAACAACAACAATGTGACCTGATCGTGAACAAACCTACAGCCAAAAGTCAGTACAACAGGACCTGGGTATCCCGTCAATACAGAAGACAGTCTTGAAATGATTTAGTGTTTGACACACCTGAACCTGGTTTTGTGTTGCCTCAACCTGCTGATAGTCCATAAAGAACCTTTTCATATTGTAGTAATGGACATACACAGGAGGCGCTGCTGGTCCACTGCTTCCTAATGTGGTTTTGTTTGTGTTACTGAAGTAAATTTATAGACCGGATTCCAAACAGTGAGGTCACGGAACAACACGTTTAACCTCTCTGATCGAGGCAACAGTGAATCAACAACTGCTCTACACTGTGTTGTAAAAGTGCTAATTATCTCCATGGAGTTTGATGTGGGAGAGTGATCTAATTACACACTAATTATCTTCACCACACAAAACATTAGTTCACAGCTTTCTTTAACCACTAAATACAATTTGTTTTACCATCCTGTCTGCGTATTATTTATTTCAAATTAATACTGGTTACCAATACTTAACCTATGAGAAAGTCAATGTTCAGAGAAGGTGGTCTTCTGCTGCTTTGTCTCGTCATTCTGGGTCACTGAGGTGAATTAAAAACAAACAAACGTGGTTTTAAATGGTGAAGTTGCAAACAGTCTGAACTCAGTGATGGGAGCATTAACCACTGCTGTGTCCCTCTGAACTGAAACTACTGATGTTCTCTATGGACTGTGGTGTTTGGTGGTTTGGTGTCAGGTTCACTGTAGTTTATATTAGGACTCACCATTAAACAAAACCCAGTTGTTGCTTTTAGTGTGGAAGGAAACCAGAGCTGCTGGTGCCTCTCCAGTCAGAATTATGAAACATTCAAATGAGAAATCATTTAATTATACATTTGAACACACAGACAGCAGCTTTTCAAAGAATAAAGATTGATTGCATTTTTTGGTTATAGTTTTGAGGCCAAAAAAATTACAATTTGATTATATACTTTTTGGATCATTTATAAGACTGTCTAAGCATAAAGTAAAGCAGTTAACACCTTCAAAATATGATGTTTTTTTGGTTCGTCTACTAGTGAGCGGCCACATTTTTTTTTTATCCTCACATGATTATTTTTACATGTTACCTGCAAAGCTCATCGTTCGTTCCCCTTCTCAGTGACCCACATGAAAAGTGTTTCCCGACAGATCAGACACTGATCCTCAACGTCTACACATGAAGGGCTTTCACTCTCGTCCTGATTCTGTTTTAGACACACAAAGGAGAGTGTGTTGTTGGGAAGACCAGTTCATAAATTGGGTGATTGGTAGAGAAGAAGAGGGTAGAAGTAGCTGAGAAACAGAAATACAGGATAAGAATGAGGTAGAGCAGTAAAGAGAGGATAAACAGGGAGATAAATGAGGTGAGAGAGTGAGGCAGAGTCAGCATCCGTCATGGAAATTAATGAGGGAGATGACAAGAAATGGAGAAGAGACGGAGAGGAGAGGAGGATGTGATTCTCCCTGTTACTACACCATCATTTCTATTTCTATTTCTGCCCCTGCTCACAGTCAAATGTGTGTTTCCCCCTCACCTATAGGTGTTGAAACTAAAACAAATTTAAGGGTTTAACAATAAAGTATCATTATACGGAATTTAAACGTTAACGAGACCATTTTTATTTATACAATAAATCCTGAACATTCGCGTTGTAGCCAAACTTTTTTTTTGTTTGGTTGTATTAACCCGGTTGACTGTTTTTGTCACGTCTGCATTATTGTTATTCTCTTGAGTTCAAGTCAGTGCTCGGTTTCCGACCAGCAGGGGGCAGAAAACTCTTGGTTTGGAAATTCAAAACGCAGGAACAGCCTCAGGCCTGAAGCTCCAGGAAACATTTACAGACACGTTTGAATTTATTATATTTTTCGACATCTTAACTACGACAGGTTTGATATAAATTTAAGTCTAAATCAAATAATATCAAATAACATTATTTTCGCAAATGTGATATATTATAAACACTCAACATAAATACACAAAAACATAAAATAAAAATTAATATACATTTGTAACAAATATATCTTAAAAGGAAAATTTCTCTTTAAAACACTGACTGAAATGTCTTTGTATATAAACTCTGTCAATTTATAGGCTTCACTTGGAGAACAGTCATAAAAACATTCATTTTAAAGTCATAAAATACATCAAATACACGTGCACAAATTAAGTTTGTTTACTAACTTTAATGCACAGAAATATTATTCCTGTGACCTTTTATTAAACAAAACAAATCATGCACTTTTAATAAAATCTTATCACCAAAATTAAGTAAAATAAATCAAGTTTATCAATAAAATGAACAAAATGATTTATTTAAAAAGAAAATCAAACTTTATGTTACCCTGTCAATTTAATCTTTGTATTTTTCTTTTTTGTTTCATTACACAAATATCGGATAAATATAAAATAAAATGATAAATTGTTAAGAAATCACATTTAAATAAATCTGTATCTATTACCTGTAAAGATAATATAATGTGTTCATTTTCCGTTTCCCTGAAGTTCTTGCACATTTTTAAATCCTGTCACAGTTGGAACAAAAATACCAGCTCAGGTGAATTTGGCCAGAGGAGGGAACAGAAGCTAATTTCCTCTCATTTTGTCGTCTTTTGTGTCAAAAGCTCATTGGAAGATTGAACCTGTCAATCAAGATTAAACGGACTCATTGATAATCTGCTCCCTCTTTTTTCTCCAGTATTACACTTATAAAAAAGCCCTGAACAGGATGTTAGGATGATGATGTTGAAGACTAACACCAATAATGAATTTCTATGAAATCTTTTATTCATCATTTTAGTAATTTTACTGGAGAGAATTTTTTTAATTATTAAATTACGCTGAATATCTTTTATCTAGTTGCTCTATGTGAAATAGAAATTATTTTTAAAAGCATTTTGAATCACATTCTCAAACATAAACAAACAAACCAACACAATCCTGTGTTGAGTTTTTTTCAACAGTTTTAATTCTATGCCACTAACGAATATAATGAGACTTTTTTTCAGTGTGCATCTTTTTTATGAACCTGACATTTTGTAACAGTTAACAGCACTGTCACTAATAATTGACATCTGTGAATTTGACAACGTGGAACACAGGGAAATAACAACTAATACACCCTTATGTACTATGAGATGATGATGACTATGATTTTTTTTTTTTTTGATCTGTCAAAAAAAAATGTTTTTGATATATTTTTTTGCGTTTTTTTAAAATGATAGTTGCATTATTTCTTTTAATATATGCAACTATTTAATAACTCAGAACTTTTTGGTATTATAAATGATGATTTCTAAATGTATTATAACACAGGGCTGACCTATTTAATGCTAACTTTACTTTTTCTTTTAGTAAGGTTCTGATATTTAATGAAACTGGTTTCTCAGCTATAAACAAGGACTAGAATTCTGATGCAAAATGCACAGATTGAGGGAAGGCACAAAAAAACAGTTCCCTGTTTGCAGCGAGCATAAGCGACATCAAAGTGAAGACATTGTTTGGGTGGAACAATGGCTGCCGTCACAGTCCAGTGCTCTGTGAGCTCCCAGAATCCCCCTCTGACGGTGAGCAGAATCACTGGACGATCACAGCAGCAGATGCACGACGGCAGAGAACAATGTGAGCACAGGCTCTCAGAGGGGAATCCTCATCCTTGGAGGATACACCCAGATCAGATCAAACAAAGAGCAGGCAGACTCTCCTGATGAGAGCAGTAGAAACGGCCACACTCTGATTTAATTACAGCTTTTTGAACAAATAAAACACTTTAAGAACAGACATATGCAAGGAGGGATGTGGAGCTGTAAATAAATATTATTGTCAATGTCAATTAATCTAAAATATTTTCTTCCCTTTATAAATGAGACTGTTGGACCAAAAACGTTTTTATATCTGCAATCAAAAAATAGTTCACAAACAAAAGACGTCTAGTAAAAAACTCTGGGATTGAAGGAAGAATAGAGAAAGTATTTAATAAACACTGAAGTCGCCATTGAACTCATTTAAACTCACTGATGGAGGCAGCAGTAGACCAGCAACAGACCAGCAACAGACCAGCAACTCTTGTCTCTATGTGAATTAAAATCACATACACACTGGCCTTTGGTATGGGAGGTTGTCCACAAAGAATTGTTTGTACACAGCTCTACTCTATAATATTTTTATTGACATACTTACAGTACGGTAATACATACATTTGCTGTCCTCTCTAAGTCCATACATCCATGACATTAGTTCACAGAGACCCATCAGTTGTTGGTGCTCCATCAGTGACTTCAAACATCTCAGTTTGTGAATTGACTATATTTAAGCTTTTTTTTTTAACTGACCACAGGAGGCAGCAGTGAACCATCAGCTACTGGATCTTTGAAAACCTGAACTTTCATGTTGTAGAAGGAGGGAGACACTGTGGGACAGTGCTCCTTAAAATAGTCCATACCTTTAGGACGTGCCTTGACCGTGGTCCAAACACTCATTCCTTTGTAAATCATAAGACGTGGTGCAGGCTGGATGTGAATACTTTGAAGTGTTGCGGAGGTTGCTCAGCTAGGCTGCTGAAAATCTGAAATAGTCTGTTTGAGAAGCAGAGAAATCCTTGGAGGACGTTCACCTGAGCCTTCAACAGGAAATCAATGCAGATCAGAGTAATGGCAGTTCACACAGACACACACGGACAGGAGGAGCAGTGAATAAAACTAACAGTAATCAGACCTTATTAGCTGAGTGTGGAGTGAATCGATGGCTGGATCCATTAATGAGACTCATTAGTGATTTAATGAAGCCAGGTTTAGCTAAACAGAGCGGGACTAACGTGGAGAAAACAATAGTTTACAATACAGAAATGATGTAGCTGATAGAAAGTGTGTGTTTTCAGGTTTTCATTCACTATTTACAACTGGGAGCTTTAGAAAGCTGTAAAACAGATGTAAAAAGACATGTGACATTTTGGAACTAAAATTAACTTCACTGATCCTAAAATCTTCCATCGTCTGGACAAGACCTGGAACTGTTTAGAACTGTTCCTAGCTTTATTTTAGCTAACATTAGCTATCAGCTATTTCTCAGCTGAACTTGAGTTATTGTTCTGACTTTAAATGTTTAGTATTTGACCTCATCGACTGTTATCTT